TGAGGCAGGAGGATGGCTCGAGCCCAAGAGTTAGAGGTTGCAGTGAGCTATGATCACGCCACTGCACTCCAGCCTGGGCAATGGAGGGAGACTCTGTCTCTCAAAAAATAAATAAATAAATAAAATGAGTAAACTAAGGTTCTTGGAGATTAAAGAATTTGCCGTTCCAGAGCAAATAAATTATAGAATTGGAATTGATATCCAGGAGTCATATTTGTTATCCAGTGTACTTAAAATGTGTTTGTTTTATTTTCCTTTGAGAATGGGGTTGACGGAATTAAAGAGGTGTTAGTAGTACGTTGAGATGTTTCTTGGATTATCAGTGTAGTATGCCTGTGTAAAATTGAATCTGAGAGTTGAAAATGAGTTTATAGCTCATTGATTCCACTCTAGATGATGCATAAATCTCCTGCAGTATCACGACTTAAACAATTGCATTAAAGGGAGGACTTGCTGACGAGCAAGCATTCTGTTCCATTGTTATACAGTGCTGATTTTTAGAAGCTCTTCCTCCTATTAAGCCTGAAATCTGTGTCTCCATGACTACTACCCACAGATCTAATTCTCTTGTCTAAAACTTTACTAAAGACTACATCATCAATCTCTTTGCCAAATGGTATTTTTAAAGCATTATCTGATAAGGGAGATCTAAGAATGCCACCCTAGCCTCTTTAGGTTAGTGTTTTCTCAACCCAACTTGCCATTCATCCAGTAGCACAAGATTGGGATGACTAGCAGCTGTGGTAAAGAAAACGCTAAGCACATACTAAAATTCTGAGGTATAACCTTAAATTGCTGGGAAAGGGGAACACCAAAGAGAGTAACTTATTGGGTAGCAGTCAAAAATGGTATACTTTCTTTTGAGCAAAAGCAGGACATAATTTTCAGAGAGTTGCAAAAACCAGACTTGTGGGTAATGAGTGCAGTCTTTTAAATGATAATTATAGCTTGCAATTTTTTTAATGTAAAACGATCTGTAACTTATTACTTGAATGTGCAATTGTTATTAAAGAATGACAGTACAAATATTACACATTTAGTCTAGCATAGTAGAAAGTGCAAGAACTTTGGAGTCAAATTCCTGTTTTTCTGTATTCTTGTTTATCATGTTGGGAAAGTTAAACGCTCTCTCCAGGACTCACTCAGGTTTCTTGTTCATGTAAAAGAAACTATAATAGGGTTATTCTGACGATCAAAGGCTGTAATTTTGCACGGTAAATATAGTAATTACTATGATTACTAGATAGAATACCTTGATTAACACTATGGTACTCAGTGAAAGTTAAAAACGTTCAAGACCTGTTCAATAAGAAACAAGAAATCATTATGCAGGGGTTTCTTGAATTAGTTTAGGAAAAGCTTGTGTGATACCCTTACATTCAAGTTTATTTAGTATCTGACTGTTTAAATGGATTTGCTGAATTGCTATGTGAAGTACAAAATGGCAAAATGACTTGACACTTGTTCTAAAATTCTATAATTTAATAATTAAACATTCCTTTTTATTTTAGATCTGTTAGCAAAAATATTGTGATCAGCAGAAAGAGCTACTGTAATGTTTAAAGGAAATTACTTGTAGAGGGGATTGATGGAGTTGCTCTGGACACGATGACCTCTCAGACCCCTTCTACCTCTTCAGATTCTAGAATTGCATTATTTGTTGTCAGGAAAGGAGCAATATCTGAGGTTTCCCCACCCATACGCCTCTGCTCAAAGAGTTTGGAAATCCTTTTTTAATTACAGTTACAATAGCTTGACTTTCTCATTTTCACTTCCTATTTTTAGAGAGGAGAGATCGAATTTGAAGTAGTTTATGTGGCTCCCGAAGTGGATTCTGATGATGAAAATGTAGAGTATGAAGATGAGAGTGGACATCGTTACCGTTTGTACCTTGATGAGTTAGAAGGAAGTGGTAATCCTGGTGCTAGTTGCAAAGACACAAGTGGTGAAATCAAAGTGTTACAAGGTAAAAATCACTCTAAAAATTATTATTGTATTAATTATTAATATTAATAATTTGTTTAAAATATAAAAGCCTCAGATGTTCTTCAGTAACATGTCTTAATGATGGGGAAACCAAAGGAATAAATAGTTTTCCCTTGCTTACAGTTTTATTGTACACCGGTAAATAACTATACTAACATTTTATTTACATATATGTTCTTCTAGATTCATCTTGGATTGTTAAGATAAGTATGTTACCAATTACTCAACTATAAATGATGCTTGAAAAATAAATAAAATTCAAATTTTCCAGACTCTGAAACAAAGACCACATGCTATTTTCAGTAGATATATCATATTATAGTCTCCCTTAATGCACATTTTTCTCTCATAATACAATGAATTATAGGCGAAGTATGAATGAGTAAACTGTTATCTTATGATTGCTATTAGAATCAGGTTATACTATCTTGAGGCTCTTTGGTTTGGTTCCTTTGCTATCATTAATACACATTTTAAGGAAAAATTCTAGCATTTTCTTTTATATAGAGCAGTGGTTCTCAAATTGTGATCCATGGATCTCTTAGGCTCCCTGAGATCTTTCAGGGGAGCCCATGAAGTGAAAGCTTTTTGTAATAAAACTAAGACATCATTTGTCTTTTTTTGCTATGTTGTTATTTATACCAATGGTACAAAAGTGGTTGGGGTAAAACTTCTGGTGCCTTAGCCCCTATCAAGGCAGTGGCACCCAACTGTACTAGTAGTCATTGTTTTCTTCCTTGCTATCCACTATCATGGTAAAAAAAAAAGAAGAGGAAGAAGAATATGCCAGTTTGGGCTGAGCGCAGTGGCTCATGCCTGTAATCCTAGCACTCTGGGAGGCCGAGGTGGGAGGATCGCGCGAGGTGAGGAGTTCAAGACCAGCCCAAGCAAGAGCGAGACCCTGTCTCTACTAAAAATAGAAAGAAATTAGCCGGACAACCAAAAATATATAGAAAAAATTAGCCGGGCATGGTG